CAGGACATAGACATTAGGGGAGAGCCTAATACTATTATTTTGCTATAGCTAAAGTGACTTCTAATGACTTACTGTTATACCCAGAGATGAATGCATCTCTTAATTCTCACTAGAGAATGTCCCTTATGCAGCAGATGACGATTTTAACACAGAATTCCACAACTGGCCAATGTGTACAGAATAAGAGACTGCAGAGTGCTTATCCCTAAATTTCAAACTTTTGCCTCCCTAAGACTCAGGGATCATTGTAGAAGATGGGGAGGAAAGATTGTAGGAGCCAGAGGTGGTGGATGGACCAAAGGAAACAGAGGTTTCCAGACAGCTGAGAAGTTACTCATATGAACTCACAGCAATGGTGACAGCATGCACATGCACCACATCAGCTCAAGCCAGACAAAATCCCAGAATAGATGTGAAGAAATGGGTAAGAAACTCCAGCCCTACCTGACAAAGTATTGTCAACTGATGGCTCCTGGGAGAGGGAGAGTCAGTTTTCTTTAAGGGTGTGACACTGGGTAGGTTAACCAGGCTCCAGTGGATGGGGGCAATTGGGGGCACAAATTTAACTCTTTAGGCATATATATATGAAATTAGGTGGGGGCATAGTAAGGGGGTGCAGATAGGGGAGGAGATCTAAATATGGTAAAAATATATTGTATGAAATTTGCAAAAAAAAAATCAAATAAAATCCTGTATCTTTCAACCTTCCCATGGGGTAGGGGGCTGTTTCCACACTTTACCATCAATATATCAGACCTATTAAACTGCTAAAAATGAAGTCCCTTTGAAGTAAATCAACAGTTTAAAAATGAAAATGCAGGAAAGGGTATTTAAGGAATATTGGCATAAACTTGCATGTATATCAAGGGTTTTAAAATCAACTGTTTGCCAGGCATGGTGGTGCATGCCTTTTATCCAGCACTTGGGAGGCAGAGGCAGGCAGATCTCTGAGTTTGAGGTCAGTCAGGCCTACATAGCGAGTTCTAGGCTAGCTGGGACTACAGGAAGAGCCTGCCTCAAAAAGAAGCCCCTCCAAAATAATATATTAAAGCCAATTATTTATAGTTCCTATTAAATATCAGACTCAGCAATGATTATCATTGTCTTCTGAACAATTTTTACTGGAAAATTTTTTATTACTTTTAAGCAGTGTTTAACTTTGGTACTTAAGAAATCTTTAGGGGCTGTAGAGATGATTCAGTGGTTAAGCCTCCTGTAGAGGACCCAGGTTCAATTCCCAGTACCCACATGACAGCTAATAACCATCCATAACTCCAGTTCCAAGGGATCCAACGGCCTCTTCCCATTGCATGACATGGGTATACTTACACATATGCAGGCAATAGAGTCATACACATAAAATAAAAATAATAAAATATTTTTTAAAAAGAAATCTTTAGAAGTTAGAAAAATATCTTGCCTTTTAGTTTTCTCATTAAAATTTTCCAGTGCATCAGACAAGCAGTAATATTTTGCAGAATCAACTTGTCTTAATAATAAAAATTTGATCATTTGATGGATATGGAGAAATGTTTATCACATGGATATTCTTAGAGTTATGTGTCAGAAGCATGAAAATGGATAAAATGGATGGTACTGTCTCTGAGAGCTGTGGGCTGGATAGCTGCTCTAGTTCCAGCTGATATAACAAAACAGCATTAACTGTGATATTTAACAACAGATATTTCCCACAGCTCTGGAGGCTGAAGTCTGAGATCAGCAGGGTAGGTGATGGCATCCTTCCTGTGGTAAAAATAAGCTAGGTAGTGAGCTCTCGGGCTTCTACAGGTTTGACAACGTTCATCAAAAATCCAAGCTACAAAAATGAAAAAACTTTTGTTTTGTTTTCAGACAGGGTCTCCCTGTAGCCTCAGCTGGCCTGGAACTTGCTACCTGATTTCACAGAAATCTGCCTGCCTCTGCCTCTGGAGTGCTGGGATTAAAGGTGTGTGCCGCTGTGCCCAGATCAAAAACATACAAGTTTTGAGCACTGATGTGACATCAATGGAAAATTCCACACTATAAAACCCTGTTTTATGCAAGATAATCTTAAATTATTTTATGAAGCTACCTCAGGAAATGCATATGTATAAAGTTCATATGAAATATGTGTGAACTCATCATTCAGACTTGGGTCCTATTCCTTTCATCTCATTATGTTCATGTAAATATTCCCCAATCCCAAAACATCTGAAATCCAAAGATCGATCCCAAGATTTTGGATGAGTGATACTCAGGCTGTAATCTCATGAATGAAAGCTCTCTCAGCATGACCCAGTTACCACCCCAAGGCCTCATTCCTAATCCCACCACATTGGAATAAGTTCTTCCACATAGGAAGTGTAGGTGCTAGGCAGGCACCTATAGGCAAAATGTAGGTCCAAATAATTCTGTATTTGTTTTGATCACTAATTATGAAGTCATGTTAGAGTCTCTGGCTCAGTTTCTGTAACTGTTAAGATGGAAAATTAATAAAACTCACAGAATTTAATTAGGTCTGAGGGCAAATGGATGTTTTACATGAATGATTTTGAAATTTCAGGATTTTGTCTATCAATACGGAAGTAGAAGATACAGCCAATTCTCAAAGGGTTTCAGTTCCTTAATCTCCTCTTCTTAAAACCAAAGATAGTCAGACCATGAAGACAGGAGGGATCAACTCTAAACACTGTCAACAGCCATAGCCAGGAAAAGCAGCTCACTACATAAAAGAAAAAAATTGTAAAACTCTGGATTCCCCTCTACTGGAGTCTTACTTTTCCAACTCCAAATCAGCTAAGAGCTCCTCAGGTAAGTGGGAATCTGTACATGTCTTTTTGTGGGCCAGTCTTTCTGTCCCTTGAGTCCTTCCTGATTCCACAGTCCCTGATACATCCTAGGTGATATCTGTGCTTCTTAACATTTGTCATGTTTCCATCTGTTGGTCTGTTAGAAGATGTACAAATAGTATTGAGAACTGCCTCACCCCCCCCCCCACAAATCCTTCCTACATATTTGTTTGTCTTTTTTTAAAAACAATAATTTTGGGTTATAAGGTCTTTTGAAGTATTCATAGTTTCAAAAGTCAAAGTCAAAGTGCAGTCTTAACTTTTTCTTCATGAAAGTCTAATGGGACTATTTCTCAGGGCTCGTGACTGACTGCCTCATCATTTTGGTCACTTTTTCTAAGGGACCATTATCTGCCATGCTTTACTGCCATTGTAGGCACAATTTCTGTTCACTTGCTTCTTGAATATTACCTCCCCTCAGGGCAGTCAACTGAAAGGGAGTAGGCACCTAGCTCTAGAATCAAGGAGCCCAGTGTCCTGAAAATCCTTTCCTAGTGCCTAGGCCAGTGCTTGGCTCACCAGACTCTTGTTTGTCTTCTCAAACAAATCAAAAGAAACCAAGACTATGCCTATGTCTTGCCAGGCTCTGAACTGTGTTTCCCATGGAATCTGACCTGCACCTGGACTCACAGCTGTAAGCAGGCAGATTCTTCCCATTTTACAGAAGTCTCAGGCTGCTAAGTGACAGCTGAGAAGGCTCTCTGAAGCTGATGCCTAATCTCCACTACAGGTGAATTCTCCTCTTTCCCACCAGCTTCCAGCCCAGTTAGTCATGGAGATCAATAAGCACTTGGCTATTTCTTGTTGCAACTAAATGCATGATGAGTAAAGCAGGAAGATGATCCAGAGGTCAAACAAGTGGATGCAATCTACTTAAGATCCTGAACAAACAAGGGTAGGGTGCCTTAGCAACAATCTAGCTTATTGGTTTCATAATTATTTAGAAAAGGACATAAACCCCCACTGTCTAGTAAGTAATCCTAGGCCCAGCTGCCTTCGGAACCACGTCAATTTTGAAATAGTCAACCTTTGCAGCATTTTCTCGGATGTGTCTTTTCTCTTTTTTGCTAGCTGTTTGATGAGCTCCTTCCCTCCACCCGTGTCCCCCGTCCCCCGTGTCCCCTGTCCCCCTCTCCTTACCTCCCTCCTCCCTCCCTCTTTCCCTTCGTTTTCTTTCTATTTCTCTATTAAGGAATAAGCTGGAGGAGCTAAGGAAAGAACACAGAAGACAGCAACTTCTCAAATGTACACTTCTCACCTGACAGCTCACTGCCCGCTTTCCCTTTATGTCATTAGCAGGCGGTTAGAAATGGCTTTCCGCCTGAAAAGAGGCATTTTATTTGTAACACACACCCACTTCCCAAGGCTGCCCCACTAGTTCCCCTACTTTATTCCAGGCTCGCTTGAGTCTTCTGCGTTGAGACTGCACGAAGCCTGTGGATGTGGTGAACTTCTGGCAAATGGCAAGGGGCCGCGCCCGCCCCGGGATTTTACTGGGCGAGGTGGGGGCTGTAAATCCCAGCCCAGCACGCGGTGAGAACTTTCGAAACGGTGCGCCCAGTTCCCTATTTCCACTCCTGCCCAGTTCTCGCCCTAAGCACCTGAAGTGACGGCACCCCGAGTCAGATGTGAGGCTCTGGTTAGAGATGTTGCATCCCCAAGCCTCGCAGAGGGCCGGGACCAACCCAGTATCTTCCCCGGGGAGCAGCGCGACCTCCACGGCCTGCGACCCCGTGGAGCCAGCGCAGGGCACAGCGCGGGAAGCACGCTCTCTGCCTGGCAAGTGACGTGGACCTCGGACTCTGGAAATGCCGTGGAGCCAGAGGAAACTTCCTCCTGCGACGAAACCTGGAACTCTCTCCTTAGCATCCCGAATTTCCCCGCCACACAGGACGCTGTAATCCACACGGTCCGGGCACCAAGTGGGCGTCACGCCCGTCGGGTTCCACGCAGGCTTTCCCCACCGAGCTTGGGGGTACTGGGCACCGACGAATGATTACTGTCGGGTTCACCCGGCTGACCGATTGGAAGTACAGGATATGAACGACACCTTTAGGAATTAGGAATCGACACTTTTTCTCGGGTTTAGTCTTATTCCGTGACCTCCCATCGGGTCTGTTGGCCACCCAGGTGACAGGTGTCCTCATCTGTCCTCCCGGGGCAGACACTCACCTTCTCGGCAGGGTTCTCCGGGCGGCAGCCTCACCTGTCCCCCCATGGCCCGGGGACCGGGCTTGCCCCGAGCAGGCACCCTCTTCTCACCCACCTGGGCCTCCGGTCCCCAGGGACCCACTTTCGGGAGGAGCTGCAGGGTCTGAGAAGGGTGCGCGCTGTTTCCGCCCCCTTAACACCCTTGGCCAATGAGGATGGCCGGGTGGGTCCTCCGAGGGAGCCACGCCCCCTGGCCTGGGCGGAGGGTGGAGGCTAATTCTCCCGCAGCTGGCAGCTGCTGTGGCTCCCTCTGGTCGCCAGTGTGTCGGTGGGGTGGACCTGGGGCTGCGCAGGTGCACAGACCAAAACCTCCGAGACACCTGACATTGAAGCCGTGAGGTCACAGCGTGGGTGCGCCGAAGCAAAAGGGGAATTTAGTGGAGGAGGGCAGCGTGTTGGGTGGCCCGCTTCTGGCTGTCCCCGGACAGGTGTCCTGTGGGAGGTCTTCCGTTGTTGGCTGTTTTGTGCACAGGTTGCTCCCTGCTGGGGTTCTGTGCGGATTTCGCGTTGAAGTTTATTTTGGGAGCTTGCAAACAGTCTTGGCGTACCCGTTGTGTCCCTTCACCCTTCCACTCTCCAACATCCACTCCATTTGTTTCTAACCAGCGGGCAACCCTCTCCAGCAACGCCCCCTCCCCCAGTCGTACATGTACACGAAATAAGCTCTTAAGGGAAAAGCAAGGCCCAAACTGAAAAACCCTATTCCCACAAAGTAACAGTAGCTGACGTTTAGGCCTTCCTTGTCGAACCTTTTGTAGTATACAGGCACATATATGCATTAACTCATTACATCTCACAGCACGGATTAACCCAGTTTGCAGATAAGGGATCTAAAGCCAAGAGTGAGGTGAGCTAACCTAACCAAGAGGCCTTTATGTAAGGAGAAATGGGTACACTTCTCTGGGAACCCTCAGCAAGGAGAGCTGGGGGCAGGGGTGGGGGGACGTTTGTGTGTGGGGAGGGTTCTTTGTGCTCCTGCCGGCACTGAAACACTAGGGGAGTTCTCTTATCTCTCACCTCTCCTTGGCTTTGGGAATTCATGAACAGCTATTAACTTTATTACCCAAGAGTTTCACTGCAGAGGCCCATCTTGCTTTTCTTGTTCTTAGGCTTATGAGGGAAGAATTAAAAGCAAATTACTCAACAGTCCAAGGTGCATACCTTCACATGGGCATGACTTGTGGGGAAGGAATGGCACCAGGATAGAAACAGATGGAAGTGGAAAGGTTGATTTTAGCCAATTTTGAATAGTAAGCCTTATAATTTAGACTTCTGTTTAAATGTTTTCTTTGGATATCAGACACGCACTGTTTACACTAAAATGAAGCTTCAAAAACTGTGTATTTGAGGCTAACTTTTAATTTCAAATACTGCATTAGCTCCACCCCACAAGTTTTGATATATCTTGTTTTTTATCAGTTAGTTCAAACTCTTTAAAAATATTCCCGGGGGAAGGCTGTTATTCCCTGTGTTTCTTTTTTAACCCAATTTATTTAGAACTACATGACTTGAGGGCACTAGAGAGATGGCTCAGTAGTTAAGAGTACTGGCGGCTCTTGCAGAGGACCCAGGTTTGATTTCCAGCACCCACATGGTGACTAACTCCAGTTCCAGGGGGATCTGTCACCTTCTTCTGGCCTCTGCAGGCATTGAACGCATGGGTACACTTACATGCAGGCAAAACACTCAAACACATAAAATAAACATAAATTACCCCCCCCCCATTAATTAAAAAGAAATACAGGGGACTGGGTAGATGGCTCAGTGGTTAAGAGCACTAGTTACACGGGCAGAGAACCCAGGTTGTGTTCCCAGAACCTGCATAGAGCCTAACAACCACCTGTTACTCCAGTTCCAGGGGATCCGATGCCCTCTTCTGGCCTCTGGGGGCACTGCATGCGTATGGTGCACTTATGTACATGCAAACAAAACACTCAAACATAAACTCAAACTAAAACAATTTTTAAAAAAGAAAAAGAAATACATGCTTGATTTCCAAATATCTGGTACTTTCAGAGCTGCAAATCCCATTTCTTTTTGGTTGCTCCCAATTATTAAAGTATGTCTAAGAAAACGTGGACGCCTCATGTTTATTCCAATGAATACTGGAGGTATTTACATATGCAACATTCTGCTTTCCAAATTGCTTACACTGCTTTAGGCCAGAAAACCTGGCATCGTGCTTAAATCCATTCTTTCATTCACACTCCACATCCAGTCAATCAGCAAATCTTGCTGTCTTTGCTTTAAAAATATATTCAGAATCTGCCCCCTTCCTGCCCCTTCCACTGCCACTGTTTTGGTTGGAATCACTGTCACTTCTTACTGAATTACTGTCATAGCCTCCTGTATTTTCACCACCTGCCTTCTAAGACCTTAGCTCCTTCTTGCTTCTTGCTTCCTCTAGCTGATGGCACTGGCTTTCCTGCTTCTCTACCCCACACAGTCATTTTTTGCAATGTTGTTTTCATGCTAGCAAGGTTCTTCCCTGGGAAGTGGGCACGACTAGCTCTGTCACTATATTCAGGTTTCTCCTAAATGAAGCCTTTCCTGAGCACTCCTAATACAGTCCTGCCCTACTAAATACCATTTTCTACTCCTTTACTATATCACAGATCACATCTGACTTATTTGTTTACTACTTTATTTTCTTTCTCAGCCCCATTAGCATGCATGCTCCATGAGGGTAGAAATTTAATTTTCTTAACCATTGCCATGTCAGTGCTCAGAAGAGAGCCTGGTATTTCATAAATATTTCAATAAACAATTATGTATTATATTGATCCACACACACTAGAAATAGAGCAATAGACAAGAAAAACACAGTCCTAAACTCAGAGGGCTTACAGATCTTACAGGGAAGATGTTTAATAGTTAAACAATTACATAGCATTTAATTGTGGTTATAAACACTGAAGAGATGTCATTGACTGGACTAGCTGAAGGTCTTGGTATGTGGGGAGACAGACTGCCAAATATTTAATAGTATAAAGAGCCAGAATTTCTCAAATCACTTCAGTTTTGAAATGAAAATAAACAAATCAATTTCATGCAAACAAATGTCCTTTAAGGCACCTTAAATAGGATTATAAAGATTTAGAAGGAGCTGACAAAGCAGGACAGAGAGCCAAGTTGAAAGTAGCTTATTAAGTAGATAATCCATGTGGCTATGTTCTTTCTGTCAGACAAGGTTATTGCAGGTCTCAGGGAAAAAAAAAATCACTGATAAGTGGATTGGGTCAAGCTAATCACACCTTGGAGAGGAAAAAAAAACAAAGCAAAACAAACAAACAAAAGAACAAAGGAAAATAAAATATCCTTTTAAACTTGAGTACACTGGACAAAAAACCCTCCTATATATGTTTTACATATACAGACAAATTTCCCCACTTATTTTCAGTTTTAGCAAAGATAATTTCCCTTCCAAGTCTTCTAGTTCCCTTCTTTCTTATCCAGATATTTGGACTCATTGATGTGGTCCCTCTGTTTGGTATCATAATGTGTCATAATCCTTTGCCTCCTCTGCACAGTCTCTGAAGAAAGGACTCCCGTGTACTCTCAGACCCCAGAAAAGTCTCCTGCACATTGTTTGTACTCAGGAATTAGGTGTTGAAGGAATGAACAGACACATAATATATTCCATGACTTATGAAGGATTATTACTTTGCATTGTTAAACATTCTAGAACATGCAGATTTTTTATTTAAAATTGGACATTTATTATTTCATCTGGTCATGTTTTGCTAGAATTGTACAATTATTGTCAGTTGTTCAATGTATTTTAAATTATTTAGAATCAATATGTAAACAATTTCACTATATCTTTATATAAAGTACATCACTTAATGACCGCATAAGCCTGGATATTAAAGGTCCCATTGTAATATTCTAGGGACAGATGATGCCCAAGCAACATGCTGCAAAGCTCCAGTTTAGATGCTGTCCAAGATTTAGAGGGAAGAGAAAGGAAGAGGTGTGTTTATTCAGTCTCATCTCTAGCAACAGCGTGTCATATGCTGTAGTTTTACTTCAGTCAGCTTCATAAGACCCTAATGAAATCAGAATTTTATGTTCATTTCATAGGTAAGAAAATTTCATGTCCGTAGCTTAATCCCTATTATCCTAAGAATCATGGTTAATCCCCAGTTCTAAATTTAGAGGGAGAAAGTTGCTTCTAGGAAGTGTAAGAGCTAGAAAAGAAAGAAGCATTTGAAGTAAGACAAATGAGTCACTACGAATATGTAAAGCAGTGTGTGTGTGTGTGTGTGTGTGTGTGTGTGTGTGTGTGTGTGTATGATTCACTGGGGGAACTGTTTTTTGATGACAAGTTCTATGATTTCTCACGGCAACCAGGAGCCAAGTTGGTAGAGGAAGTAAAGGCTTACTAGAATGATTACTCCTACCATTTTATTTAGCTCATAGTAATAACGTTTAAAATCTTCACGTGACAGGCAAATCAGGAGGAGGTGAACATCCATGGCCATGTAAGGGACAAAATCTCCAGTCTTCCCAACTTGACTTACTTTTAGGTATGTTTATTTTAGTTACACTTTTCGTGTAGTGTATGAAGTAGGACTAGAGAACATTGCCTTAGGTTAATCCTAGAAATATATATTTTAAGCCAGAAAAAATGTATCTTCAACTTTTAAAAGAAATCAGGCAAATTTACATAATGCAAGTAATTATCATAAAATAAAATTTCCCTTTGCTATCTGTCTTTCTAAATGATGGTAGCCACTGGCCCAGCATTCAGTGTGCTTCAGGGACTGTTACAAATATTCATGCTCCTGTCTCTCACTTTATTCCCTTTAAACCTGTAACATTGTGTCCTGGGAAGGCTGGCAATATAATTTTAATAAAACGTTGGGCCGTATTTCTTTTGGTTTACTTCCAAATATTTTAAGAGACAAGGCTTGGAGAAGACCTTTATGGCTCTAACTCTCATACATATTAATAAGCTCAGGTTCAAGCAAAGGATAATGATGGCTTGCGTGCTGTTTTTTCAACCACATCCAAATCTGAAAATCCAATACACAGTCATGAAAATCCTCCCCAGTCAATACCATGGAATTGTTTCTTTCCCTAAGAATA